GCACCGAGCGATTTCAATTATCGGATTGGACTTTGATTATCGGGTACATACACCTCTCGAAAGCATCGGGTAATCGAGCGGGAAAAATTTATAATCCCCGTCAGGGTGTTTTGGACGTCGATGTTTGATCAGATCATGATTTTTTTTTATTTATTGGGCGTGAACTGTGTTTGTGTGGGCCGATTTTTGTGTTTGCACGTGGTTAAAGAGTTGTACGAGTTTTCGATCGAATCTAGTGGGACGACGATACTTCAATTTTCTCCCGTCGATCTGCGACACGTAGCACCGCTTCCCAGTTGTTGAAGGGTAATCGCATTGATTCGATCGAATCGCACTTGGAAGGGAAATGAAATTCATTTTGTTACTCTCTTTTTTTTTATTTTCTTTTTTTTACTGACAATAGAACATGGATGATTACTGATAAGCGCACACTCGTTAGCGTGGCATTGGCTCGATTGGGTGTAACGCAATATAGTGACGATAACCAGCAACAAAGTGTGTACGAGAATAGAGGGGGGGAGGACGAAAGATAATGTTTGTCAAGTCGAGAGGAGGAGGAGGAGAAAGGGTCGCGTAATGGGACGAGAAGAGGGAAAGCGCGATAATTGTCCCCGAAGCCGACTCATGCGCGGATTAATTGTCTTGGGCCCCGGGAGCTGTATGAAAAACGACGCGTAAACATACCACTTTGCGCTAATCCGCGTGATAAACACCCACTGATGTTTTTACAACGTTGTTTTCCTCGTCCCAGCTGTTTCCGTGAATTTTCCCCTCCTCCTTTGGCCCCCTTTTTTCGTTCCCGGTCCTTTCTTTCACATGTACCCTTTGTGCGTGTAATTTCGCGTCGAAAATGAAAAAAAAGGGTACATTGAGTACAAGAAAAAACAATTAAAAGAGTCAAAAGACAATTTTCCTCAGCATTTTATTATACATAGTGACGAAGAAGAAAAAAAAATTATTTTAAAAAGTCCCACGAAAGTCCGAATGCACCCAAACTAATTTTGCCGCATGGGCGTCTCGGGAAAGCCGAGGGGAACCTATCGAGGAAATGTAAAAATTTTCGAGAGTCCGATTGAATTCACAAAGGGCGAGGAGATCGTGGAAAAGGAAACGTCACGCTTTCCCGCGGAATTTCCCCCCCCCCCCTTAAACGCGACACAGAGTAAACTTGTTAAAAAACTTTGGCCGAGCCAACGAAATTAACTTTCATCGGATGGACAAAAGTTAAAAGTGCCAGTTTAAAAGAGGTGGCGACCCGAGGAAACGGGCATAGGAATAGATAAACCGCGAGCGAAAAGGAAAACCGTCGAAGCTCGGAGAGTCGGGGAAAAAAGAGATGCACAAAGAGAGGACACATCAAAGAGTCGATCGGTGCGGATGTGCCGAGGGAAATTGAACCCGCACACACGCCGAGACGCATATTTACAATTGAAAAAACTATACAAGGTCTATACAACATTCAGTACAGCGATGGGATTTCCACGTGGCATCGAGATTTCGAATGTTGCGTCTAATGATGAAATACTATGGTATGATTTACAACAAAGAAATCGTTAACGACGGACATTTTTTTTTTTTTTTTTTTTTATATTTTTTAACATTTATCTTCATTGATGAGTTATGGCTAAAGAAAGTGGCACTATCGAGTTTGTCGTCTCACCTGCGCAGACGGATAGAACAATATACCGGTATAAAATTTAGTTTAGTTGGTAAAGTGCTGCGAAAGGAATTCTTTGCGAACTCTTTCGTGCGTATCCGAGTACGAACACCCTTGGTTCGTGAAACGCTAATTTTATACTCATTAGGTATACAGGTTCGGCACCGTCTTCATTAAATGACTATGAAACAAGGAGACATTAACATATTTTTGTTATGCTTCATTTATTTATTTATTATTATTTTTTTTTTTTTTTAAATAATGGAAACGTTTTAACAAAAGCAAAAAAAAATCAATAGGTACACCAGCGTCAAGAAAATAAATCCTGCCTCTCTCTAGCAACTGCATTGCCACACTTTATTTTTTTTTTTGTTCATCTTATTTCAGCTCACCCTCGACGCATCCAATGCCTCTTGGCGGGCCACATGTGCGTCCACCTCCCGGCGAGCATCGGGAAGGAGCGCACATAACGCGCATACGTCAACGCTCACCCACGCGCGCGAGCATACCTATCTTACACTCTCTCTCTCTGTCTCTCTGGTAACCGAAGGGGATTTAAGAAGGAGAAGAAGAAACGGGAGGGACAGAAAATGGCAGGAGTAGCGAGAGAGAAAAAAAAAAAAAAAAAAAAAAAAAAAAAGGAGAGACGATGAGGGATCGCCGAGGAGGAGGAAGAAGAAGAAGTATAGCAGAGAAGAGCCAGACAGATTGGCAATCTGTCAGAGGCGGATAAAGAGAGCCCGGGTGGATGTGCAGTAGACAGCTAACGTCTATGTATCGGAGAATTGAATAAAATAATACTATATACCTGCTGTGTACCGCCTGATTGGGCAATGTTTTTTTTTTTTTTTTTTTTTTTCTCTCCTAAAGACACTGTAGTGCCTACGTTACACGTGTATGTCAATAATGTCAAGGAATTTACAAGAGCTCGAGAGCTTTTATATAAAAGATCAGGCCGAGCCGTAACAAAGTGCCGCGTATACTGTATGCGAACTGCCTGCGGGAAATCGCGAGTATATAATATAATGTATATACCTATATGCGTTTATCTACTAGTACAAGAGAGAGGACGAGGGGGGGTGTATCTGTACGTACTCCGAGTTAAGTCGTGAGCGGTAGGTGTATATAAGGAGCCCGAGATTCGGAGTTTCAGCGCGTGTGGGTGTCGGCCGTAAATTAGAATGAGCTTATTTTACCGAGTGAAATTGATAATCCAATTCACGAGTTTGCCACGCGGTAACGGCACGCATATACGTATACGGGCGCAGTCGAAAGTAATACAACGGATTTATCGTGCAAATTTGCAGGACTTTTGGGATACACAATGATAATAATAATAATAATAATCATGTGCCTCTGCCGCGCTTTGGGTTGTTTAAATAAACTCGTCGAGCGTGTACGAAAGCTCGTTTTTTTTCCCCTTTGCTGCTGTTTTGAGGGTTTTGAATTTTAATATGGCTTTTTTTTTTTTTTTTTTTTTTTTTTCTTTTTTCGACGAGGGGGAAGCAAGATTAGCGGGGATATATCGCATGATGAGACGATTAAGGTGAAGTTTCATTACTTTTTTAGGTTTCATAAATTCATCAGGGACGGCGTATCCTCGTGAAACATTAAAACGTATGCTTAGCCCTTCGCTCGAGGGGATGGATTTTCCGGGGGTAAATTTCTCGAGTTGGAATTTTTGATGTGTATTTTTCCACGCAAAGATGAAATATTGCTCACATTGCGAAAACACCGATCGGGAATGCGGGAGGTGGGATACAATTTTTTTTTTACTTTTTGAAAAATTGAATTCGTGCTCACAAGCCAAAAAAGCTTGGTTGTTGTTGTTACGGAAGAAAAAATAATTTGACCTTGTATTTGGAAAAAAAATGTTCAATTGTACGCAATAATCAATATCACTTCACAGTGACTATTAAAATTTCACAGCCAACTGGTGATAATTATAAAAATGACTGTTCTAGAATGGCAATATCGTACAGCACTCACAGTCGTAATTTCTACTACTTTAAGCAGGAATTTTTATTTTTTATTTTATTTTTTGTATACAGCAGAAATTACAGACCAGCAATGATCAAAATTAGGTGGTCAAAAAAATTTCTAGACGACGGAATGATGCCATTTTGGTACAATTTTTTTTCCCTCGATGTACAAAAGCTTATTGAACGATAAAAAAAAAAAAAAAAGCTCAATCGAGCTTACCTGTAAAAGCGAGCAAACTCCTGCTTTCACGCTCGAAACAGCAGTAGCAAGGATCAAAAACGATATTAGGTGCCGCGTGCGCGTTGTCTCGGCCGAAAGAAAAAGCCTAGCGCGTGTGCCATTACACAAGTAGTGCGAGCCCAGCCGGATTAACGCAAGTGTATATTGTTTACACGGGGAAAAAGCTCTCGAGAATAAGGCAGCCAAGGAAGAGACGTGCCCCTTCTTTCTCTCACTCTTTTACGGTCCGGTTCCCTTTGACTTTGCGCGTTTCCTACATTACATATAGCTTACCTGTGATGTTGTACAGCAGTACACCGGAGGCACGACTTTTCTCCGACTGTGAAAGTCGTCGCCAGTACACTTGCACGCGGGCCTTTGAAATCGCGGAAAGAACACGCGCTTGTCCCCCACCCCCGGCTACCTTGTTTTTCTTTCTTTTCGAGTGTGTTTATTCGTACAGTGTGGTATACAGCACCAGAGGGTGAGTTGATGCTCGGCCTATACCTCTCGTGTCTTCATTAAAATTTGAAAAGCCCGCGCGCCCGTACACACACACACACACTCCTTTTTCGCCCTCCGACGCGCGTATGTGTATCTTTCACACGGTTCCTCCTCTTGGTTTTTCGTTGCGCTGTTCCAGGTCCATTGTCGGCAATTTGCTTGCAACTCTCTCTCTCTTTCTTTTTTTTTTTCAAGCTGCGTTTGGGAGTTTTGGCTGCCGCGCATTCTAGCGTTTTTAGAGCTCGCAAAGCTCGAGTTGGCCGCGAAAAAGAGGGGCTTACTTTGGTAAATCGTGGAAATCGTCCTTGCTGCGCTCACCTCAAAGCTAAGCTTCAGGATTAAACACACTTTTTTTGTTCCTCGTGAAAAACATTTGACCTTGCCTACGTGGATAAAATTATCGTGGTTTCACGCTCCACTCAGCAACGGCAAACCTTGCTCTTTTAATTTGGCAACAGTTGCCTTCGTTTATTGTACGAAATAGCACGTTTTATTTTATTTTTTTTCTTACTTAGGGTTAAAAAAATCACGCGCAAGAAAGGCTAAAGAACTATACTGCTATTGTGTTATAGCATGCGCGCGTAGACGCCTTGAAGAAAAAAAAAAAAAAAAAAAAAAAACCGCTTGTTTGACTTACCATGCTGATGCGGCGCTGAGAAAGCCGAGTGGCGTCTGGGGGACATGTTCGAGTGGTTGACCTGCGAGCCGGGCGGCTGCATCGACGACAGAGCGCCGAGAGGCGTGTAAGACTTGCACGGCTGTTCCTTCTGTCGTGGCGGACGTGAGCGCGTGCACGCACAAAAGAGACAACGGCAGCCGCACCACCGAGAGGGAGGAAAAGAAACAAAAAAAAAGGGCTGTCGGTTATTTAACACTCGCTTTCGCGGGTATACAACGCATGTGTGCACGTCTCCTCAAAAGGAGAGAGAGATAGAACGAGCGAGCGGCCGAGGTGGTTGCCGATGTTGCTGTTTTTTCAGCCACGAAACGATAATGACGATTTGGGATTTTCCCCCAAAAACAGATGATATTGTTTACCCGCGCGCACGACTGTATAATTTCATCTTTTTTTCGCGGATCGGTTACTCACTCGTCATTGTTTACCGAGTTTTTTTCGTATTCAAAACGTTCCGCATAACTTTTGGATCCAAAGACTCGAATTCAAGTTGCCTCGAGAGCCGAAACGGGCGCGTGGACTAGATTTCGCGTTACAAAGTATCTCGGGTGAATTAAAACCAATAAAATTTCATGAATTCGGTCGAGGAGAGACTTTAACTTTCGACTTTCTCTCCGCTCGGTGCATTTATGCGCGCACAAGCATCGTTATTATTGTACTTTGCAAGCTTGTAGATAGTGTGATTTCCCGTTCGAGACTCATCGACCATTGAGCCATTGTTGAGTACCTCTCGACTCGTTCTCTCGTGCGCGCAATACTTTTTTTTTCTCACGCCAAAAGGAATTAAAAGAATCTATAAGCATATAATGTACGATAAGTCACCTGCTCGTGTAGTTCCGTGGCAACGGCCGTGGCTGCAGTCTGCGTGTGACTCGTCGAACTTATTCGATACTGCATGCCGGCGATGCTGCAGAATCCCTCGTGGTGAGTCGAGCGCGTCTGATTGACGTAGACACCTGAACGAAAGAGAAACCGAGGGTACAAGGTGCACGTGCATACATTACAACCGACGTGAAAAATAATGGTATTAGCCATGAGGACTCACCGGTAATCGTGACGTCGGTGTCCTGGTTGACGATGACGACCTTCTTGGAGGGCTTGACGAGGTCATCGGCGTCGGATCCACCGCTGGCCTGGCGCTGTTGCTTGCGCTTCTCCATCTCGGAGTCGCTTTGCCGCTTACGCTTGACAAACTCGACCTCCGAGTCGCTGCTGGGCGCGGACTCGCTGCTCGTGCCCAGCCTGTTCTTCTCGTCCGAGTACGAGGCCGCGAGTATTGCCGACGCGTTCAGGCTGGCCATGCGCTTGCACACGACCATGTCCTTCAGGTCCATCATCTCGGGGTTCTTTTTCCGCCGCTTCTGCTTCGGCTTCCTCTTGTCGTCCCCGTCAATACCCTCCTCCCCGTCATCATTGTCATTTTTCTCGCCGGTCTCCTTCTGCCGCTCGCGCTCCTCCTCGAGCTGCTGGCGCTTCTCTCTGGCTTTCTCGAGCCGGTCCCGCTCGCGCTCCTTCCTCCTGCGCTCCTGCTGGCGCTCGCGTCGCAACTCGCGGTCCTCGTCCGACGACGACGACGACGAGGACGAGGTCAGCCCGTCGAGGATGTCGTAGTGCTTGCCCCTCAGCCCGGGCACGTTCCTCAGCTTCCGCTTGTTGCTCGGCACGGGCGTCGTCGCCACCGTCGTCTCGGTCGTCGACGCCGCCTCCTCGGGGGGCTTCGTCTTCGCCGCGGGCTTTTTCTCCCGTTTGGGCTGCTTGCCGATGCTACCCTCCTCCTTGTCCTCCTTCTCCTCCTTGCACTTGCGAGGGGCCTTGTCCTTCTCGGGCTTGGGCTTGCAAAAGCCACCGAGGTAAACCCCGCCGTTCTCGTTCTCGTAGAGACAGTGCACCTTGGCCAGGGCGTTCAGCGATGCGACCCGGTGGCGCTTGGGTCCGCTCCAGAACCCAAAGAGCTTCATGCGGTTCGTCATGAGCTGCTCCTCCTCCGAGGGACTCCGCTCCTTCTTCCCGCCGCTCGCCCTGGGCCTGGATCTCCTCGCGTAGTCGCTGTCGTCCCCGTTGTCCTCGCTCTCCTCGGACGTCTCGGTCCCGCCGTTCACCGAAGCACCGGTCTCCAGCTTCGGCTTCACCTTGCCAAACTCCTCGTCCTTGCACTGGGCCGGTGCAGCCTCGGCGCCCTTCTGTTCCGGGACACCGGTGCCGTCGGCCCGTTCGACCTCCGTGTCGCTCGGCGTCAGCTTGGGTTTCTTCTGCGCCGACTGCCTCTTGTTGGCGCTCTGCTGCTTCCTCGCGGCCGTCGCTGCCGCGGTCCTAGCTTTGGCCTGGCTCTTCTTCGTCATCGGCGTCGGCTCCTCCTTGGCTGGCCTGTCGAGCACCGGCGGTGTCACCAGCGACGGCTCCTTGTCCTCCAACAGCTCCTTCTTGATGTTCTCCGTTTGGACATTGTCCGCCTCGCGCGTCGGCGACTTTTTAACCTCCAGGCTTTCTGGCTCCTTGGCGCTCTCGGGCGCCACCACCTGCTGCTTCTTCTTGTTGGACTTGGGCTCCCTTTTGACGGCCGGCTTCCTCGGCTTGGCCGCTGGCTTCTCGTCGCCGAACTTCTTCAGCAGGAGGTTCTTGCCCTTGGCCAGCAACGACGGCGACTTTTTCTTCTTGGCCGCCGGCTTTTTGGCCTCGACGCCGGCCGCATCCGCGACGCCCGCGTTCCCCGGATCGTCCGGTTGACCCACGGCGGCATTGGTCGACGACGGCGGCTTGACTAGCTTCGTTTTCTTCTCGGCGGGCTTCTTGCCGAGCGGCTTCTTCGTGGCCAGGACGCTGGCCTTCTTCGGCGGGCTGGGCTTCTTGGGCTGCTTCGGCTTCGGCTCTCTCTTGACCGGCTCCTTCTTCGTCGTCGTCGTCGTCGTCGTCGTCGTCGTCGGCGTGGTTGGTACCACCGTCGCCTGTTGTTGGTGGTGCTGCTGTTGTGCCTCCGGTGGCACTGGAGCAGCTACAACCGGCTTTTTGCTACTGTCTTTGGCTGTCACGCTCTTCGGAGGGTCCCTGGCCGAGGACTCGAGCGACTTGGCGAGTTTGGCCTCGCGCCTGCGGTTCTCCTCCTTGAGCCGCTTCTTCATCGGCAGCGAGGATATCCTGGTCTCGAACTTGTGCAGGTCAAAGAAGCCACCACCACCGCACTCGAGTCCGTTAGTGATCTGCTTCTTGGCCTCCTGAGCGCTCCTCGGCTTGCCAAAGGCCTCGTCCTGTGGCTTAGCACCGCAGACAGGCTTGGCCTTTTTGTCCGCACTCCCGGACTCGGGCTGTCCCCCCGTGGCGTCCTCAAGGACGGGCTTGGGGTGCAGTTGGTCGCCAAGCTGGTCCGGCTGGGAGTGGAGCTGCGGCCTTTTGTCCTCGAGAGCAGCGCTTGTCCTCTTCTTGGGCTCGCTCTTCCGCCGGGGCTCGGCCTTGGGCTTCTTCTCCTTCCTGGGGGTGCCGGGCTGGTCGGGCCCGACGGCGCCACCCGTCCCGTTGCCGGCCGATGGCTTCTCGAGCGAGGCGCGTCGCTTGCCGGCTACCATGGCTACTGCCGCCGCCGCGGCCTTGCGGGCCCCGCTCGGCGCTGCAGCGGCCTTCTTCTGCGGCTTCATGACCGCGCCTCCCGCGGCTTCTTCACATTTTCGAGGCCAATATCGCGCGGCTGCTGCTTCTCCTCCTCCTCAAGGCATTACCTCACTACCATTTTTCACCGGCTCCTGCTGCTGGCGAGCTGGTGTGTGGAAGAAGAAGGTACTCTATGTGTCTGCTTCTGGAACAGATATGAGGGGGACCAAAGGGCCAGAGTTACGTAAAGCGTATGGGTTCCTCCCTTTTCTTTGGTTGTATGAGGAGGTTCACGCGTCAACCGCAATATACCAATGACCCACAGCCCAAAGGTGATTGATTAGTCCCCCAGTTTTTTTTATTATGATGTGGGTTGCACAACTCTTGGGAGACAAACAATAATGATACGTTACCGGTTACAATAATTGACAATACGATCGTTCAGCCAATGTTTTAGAGATGTTATAAGGGCCTAAGTTTACGTACATGATAGATTTATTCCTTTTTTTTTGTGGGCACTAAATGATGGATTGTTTGGTTGCAGCCATAGTTCATGAATATTAATAAATAATATATACTGTTGTACGTGTGTATAGGGTACGTCTCTTTGTACCGTCTATATACACACCACAGGTTTACCTATTTATCAACATCATTTATGCATCAGTAGACAAATTATATACTCACCGAATGAACTGATAATATACTTTTTCATTGTGTCATTACTTTTTATTGATATGAGCTATAATACGTTTAACTCGGAATGACGCGTGAACCTTCTTACATTGTAAAAAATATGTACAAGAGTTGTTTCTTCCTAGTGTAATTTTGCTGTAAATCAAAAGTCGAGTCAAAAGTCACCTGGTATAATTTATTTTAAAAAATATAGAAACTGCATTTACATGTATAAACAATTTGGACACAAGTTTGCATAAACTCAAAAGATCATGGGCTCTACTTTTATGTACGATGTGGTTGAAAAAATACGATAAAAGGATGGAAAAAGGAGGGACGCCACATGTACGATACGTCAACCGTCGGAGATCGATATGGCAAAAAGAGTTCATTCAAACCGCTGTCATTGCCGAAACGTGATCTGTATTTCAGTTGCAAAAGGTATTATGTACATATAAAAGCTGATACCAAAAGACAACCCGAGACACGCAGCAATGATTTCGATCGTACTTTTTTTGGGATGAAGATGTGTTCTCATATATGTACATTTTATCATCCTTTTTCTCCCTCCAGGTTTCTTCCCTCCTTTCTCTGATTTTTAAAAGAATACTTATGCCAGTGTTGCAGTGCACTTGGTGAAAGTATCTTTTTTTCCCCCACCATCATTATCAAATTCCACACATCATCTTCCGTCCAGTAACTAAAAATCTTCCTACTTCCTCATCATATTCATCCACGCGATTCCAGAGACGCGCCAGACACTCAAGTGCACAACATTTCCGAGCATTAAAAGGGTTGAAACACCGATAGCGAGCACATGTATGTATATATATAAGTACCCGCACTTATATCAGTTAGAATAACCGGGGCGGGTGCCGGCTCTTCCGGCCGGCCAACTACTTACACCTCGCTCGGCTAATTAAATATTTAAATACTTGTGATCGAGGCAAAACTTTTGCCTCAAACTTTAATAATAAAGCTCACGCCTCGCGGGGCGAAAACTCTCACACCGCTAACAGAAAGAGAGAGATTAAAATTACTCGTTTGCTCCTCCTTTCTTTTACATTGCTCTCGATTTTTTTTTCTTTTTCTTTTTTTTTTTTTGCAAGGGAACAACGCCACGCGCTAAGAAGAGGAAGGAGATAAGGAAACAACGACGAAGCAGGAAGAGGAGGAAGAAAATCCTTTGTTTCAAGGGGCTCTCCTCAATTACTTTAAAAGAACGCGTGCACGAGTGTATGTGTGTGTGTGTGTGTGTGTATACATACAAGTAGTTGCAGCCGCAATAACACCGCTTGTTGTGCTGTTCACGCCGGGGCTGGCTCTCTCAAATACCGCAATGAGACGACCGTGGGGGGTATGGGTATAAGGTGCGGGTAATAAAAAAAAGTGTGTTGTATCTTTTCCTTGCCACCGCTCTGCTCGCGCTTTCTCCCGCGAAATTCACTCGGTTTCGAGTGCCAGTATACGCACACACTTACTTGTGTACCTACGATTGCAAGTATATATATATGTATGCATGGCTTTGGAACAGGCGTGACGATTGCGGTGGCAAAAGAGATGAAGAAACAAAATTGTCAAGAATATTTAGCTGCCTCTGTTTGTAAGTGATGTCTTTTCCGGTTGGGTAGCTGGTGCTATACTTGCACATTCGTCCTCGCACCGTACACGAATTTTCTTGGTGGAAATCAGAAGCGTGGATGTTTATCAATTTTATTAATTAAGGCAAAACTAGCAGATGATATGATTTCCAGATACCGATCGGGACCAGATCAGTGATGATATTGATGATTTTATGCAAAAAAAAAAAACATATATTTTTTCGCTTTCAGACAGGAATTCTAGTTGAAAAACTAATTAAAAAAGAAAAAGAAAATAAATTCAAAGGGCCACTAATTTAACTTTCACAGTACCGATCAAAGAAACTGTCTGATAGCTAGCATGAAAGATTTTGCACCAAAAAAACCCTTATATTATTTATACTATTAAGGCAAAATTATACTTATATATGCTTTGAGACAATATTAAATACTTTGCGGAAAAAAAAATTATTCTATATGAAAACACGGAATATGCAAATAAAAGTATGAATAACGAACTGATGACACTTCGTACCTCGCTTCGTACACATTACACCCACACACACACAAAATCCCACCTCTACGCATTACATATACTTTAAAGGGATGAATGTACCAAGTTGCAAACACCCATAGTAGTAGTACTAACACACTTGGAATGCGAGAATTAAGGCGCTCAGCAATAAAGCTATTATACAATACAACGCCACCTGCACCAGGGCCGTGTGGCGGTCAAATTTGCGCGCATTGCAGTGACAGAGGAAGACGCAAATGAAGAAACACTACTCTCTCTCTCTCTCTCTCTCTCTCTCTATTTTCCTCTGTTTTTATATCGCGCTCTCGTTTTACGGAACATTACGAGCGCGAGATTTCACCCGCACACGCGCCACGCTATATCTTTCCTCCTCCTCCTCTCATCATATTATATATATACAAACACGCGGTTCGCGTTCTTCTCTCCCCCGGGAGTTCGTGCTCTCTTCACCATTTTATACATGTATATTATATGCAGGGGTATATACCATTACACCATTGCAGTGTAAGTGTACGCGAGCAGTCAAATTCTCAACTCTCGACCGTCGTTGTTGTATACTTACTGTACTGCTGCTGCAGTTATGCGCACTGCAAGAGACAATTAAGTATATGTGCACTCCCGCACGTTTCGCTTGTATACAACTCGTACAGAAGCGATTCTACGAAAACATTTCCTTGAAACCAGGTAACATTTTTTTAAAGCGTATACATTACTTTTGATGCGAAGATTTTTTAAATATATAAACGACTCTGTATTACGAATCTTGTGAGGAAAATTTTGAACGGGATGTACACGAGATCAATCGTTCTTTCCAGCTCCTCGAGTTGTTACAGGTGACTTCATTTTTATGTTTACGAAGGCAAGTAAAAAATTTTAAATTTTCGTCTCAAAGGTGTGGTGATTTCGAAAAAAATAAACAAATAAATAAAAAAAAACAGTCTAAAAATGTCTTGAAATTTTCTTTGTGGAATTCGTCTTGTACGTTTACGTATGCTGTCTTAAATCGCGAGTCGCGAAACTGTTTTCGGAGTATATAAGCATACATTATACAATACGTACACGTGGAACATGCCTGCATACCCCGCAAGAGAATACTCCCGCGTGCAGTGCGCCTTTTTTTCGACAATTAATGGGGAATGAAATTAGCGAGAGTTTATTCGGCCTTGCTTCTTTTTTTCTGGTGCAAGTAATGGGTTGTTTTTTTTTTTTTTCTTTTCTCGAGGCAAAAAATAAAACGTATGGTAAGTAAAAACACATTTCACAACACTGACACACTTGTTAGATATTTACAAAAAGTAAAATAGGACAACTGGCAAATGAAAAGCAACACACCCTCTTTTAGTTGGGTAACGCCACTATTACAATGTTATAACTGCATGTGTTACCCTTAAAAATTTTAGTGTCTAGTGATTAACGGTATAAGTATACGTCTGTATACTTGTCAGACTTGGACTTTTTAATACTTTTAAAAGAAAAAAAATTTTTTACCGAACATAGTAAAATACTAATAATACTGACAGCTTGATAATGAATAAATTACAATGCATTGTTTTAGCTGAAAAAAACTGTGGTAAACACCGTGATGTAAGTAGTAATTTTAAATAATTTCAAGCACATAATATTATAATTTCCTAAAAAAAAGGAAAAAGTATCCGTGCCCAAGTCTGATACTCGTTGATATTATTAAGCGAGCCAGTGTGTATTGGTCCAAGGACGTGCGAGTCTTTGTACTGCTCTGATCTAAAATCATCGAAACCGTACTAAAATACAATAATCATACATTAAGGTACGAATTTTAACAATAAAAGTGGGTGGCCAACAAAAAAAAAGTAGAGAAAATACACAAGAGAAGCACAGCTTGACGGCCACTTTGCTCGAGAGTTAATTTTCATTGTCTCGACATTACAGCGCGAAGGTGTCACTTGGAAAAGTACGTGAAAGTAACAACGACTTTTTTTTTTTTTTCGTTCATTTAAATTGAAAATGAAGCAATGATCAACCAAAGACACGTGCCACACAGCAATAAACCTTCTATTCCCTTGTACACGCAAAATAACACTTGTATCTCTCGAACCTACTGCATTCATTGAAAAATACGTCAAAAATCATCGCCACGCTTTCTTCCTCAATAAAAAAACAGCGAACCTTCCTCGCGAGATCCAAGGGAAAAAGATTCGCTTCCTCGATAAACCAATAACCCACCGAAGACAGGGCATTTTACTTTACGTACGGGCGTGCACGAAGCTATACGCTATATGGGGTGATAAAATCTGGTCTATAACTCATGACCCACACACGGGACGCGGGCAATCGTTCGATTATATTTTTTTTGGTTCGCGGCGCAACATCGCTTCGACCTTTTGACGTGAATTTCACGTCAAATTAAGCACACGCGCTCTAAAGCAATAAACGGAGCAGTGAAAGGGGGGGCGGGGCAACTCTCCCGCACAATGGCGTCCATGTGACACGAGTGTATATATGTATATGTATATATATATTCAAGTGGGGGCGACAGGTGCGACAAAAAAGCCGGACGCGCTATAAATCACCCCTTTTTTTCCGTGCCTGCACCGGACCGTATTCGATTAGGAAGCGACGACGGAACGTTTCGACGCGCAAAGATCATATCGTGTTATTTTTTTTTTTTCCGTATACGCGTACACACACAGAATGAGGTGGCGCGGGAAGGAAAACTAAAAAAAATCGAGGGGATGACGAGCGGTGAATCGAAAAGTGCTGCGTTATGAATAATTCGACGGGGGTGGAGGGGGGGGGGGAGGCGAATATTGTACATCCCCGAGGTTCGACGACGAGTTTGAAGGCTCTCGTATATATATAATATAACGTACACGTGCGGAGGTCGAAGAGTCGATCGTCTCTTCGCCACAAGTGGATGAATTCGGGAATTCAGAGAACAGGATACGTATTTATGTGCGCAGCGTTCGATATGTATACTGGGGGAGTGCGTCTCAGGGATTTGTACGTCTATATAATTTACGTGTGGAATATTATGGACTTGATCCTACATACATATGCGACTTGTGATTTGGTGCTGACGATAAAGCCTCTGGTTTGGGGTGTGTACTTATCGTTGTTTTCTCGTGTTGGAAAATAAAGTGTGTTTTTGTATACGTGTCACGAGGGGGGGGGGGCACGTCCCCTTTTGTTTTCACTATTTATTTTTTTCCCCCCCTCCGAGTTATACCCTCCGGATCGATGTCGATAAAAAGATTTGCTCCGGAGTGCTCAGGGAGGGGGGCAATTAGTTTGTTTCGTACCGACGAGTCAATGTTTATGGAGAACTACACCGTGGCTGCTGTTGTTTGCGCTGCTTTGCCGCCGGTAAATATTTATCGCGTGCGCCGTACAGGTGTGTGTACTGTTTTCGACTTTCTGGTTTAGTGGGTCCATCACAGTGACGACAATACTGTTAGTTTCAGGCCGGATTAGCGACTACCTTTGGCGCTCGGTTGCTTTTACGACACCGATGACATTTTCACGGTATTTCACACCAATGGGGAGATGAAGATAACAATGAAAACCGACCGAAAGGGAAGAGGATAGTAGCACGTGTTACGGCGAGTGAAAAGCTTGTTAGCTTTCTGCTCGGGGGTCTAATTAAAACAATTACAGTATAGCAGGTGCTGTAAAACAACGCGGGTCTTCACATTATCTTTGGTACGGGGGGAGTGGCAAGGGGCGCAGAAACGTGCTTTTTGTTTTTCGCTCGGGTTTTAAATATGGCTGTTAAATTCTCCCCAAAACGAATTCAATTAGATGTCCCACACCCTTTCCACCGTTTTATCACTCGCATCAGTTCGAAATCGTCGGTTAAAACTCTCGGGTTTTTCAAAAAGCCCTGGCTGCGCTATACCCCGATTCCGGAAGAGAGAGAGAGAAAAAAAAATACGCGAGTCTCTTTTCACGCAGATGCGCGTGATAAAATTGAATACAGGCGGCAAATCGATTTTTCACGGCTCGAGTACTTTGAATATATATATACGCGGTTGGCCTTTGCGGAGCACAGGAGGTACATATGCATACGTCAGAAACGTGCACTCAGACATAAAGAGGAGGGAAGGAAAAATAAGGGTTGAGTTTTTTTGTTGTTGTTTCGATCACATCTCCTGGCGTCGGTATTCGGAAATCGTTGAATTTTTTTTTTTTTTTTGATTCGTACAAACGTTGGCAAACAACAGGCGAACATGATTATTGTCCATCAAAAATAGATGCGTACTCTCTCATCCATTGCGAAGGGAAGAGCGAAGGTGCAGTGCACTTACCTTCACTTGTCTTGATTGTACACCGGAAAACCATCCCATTCGGGGGACCAGCGGTGCGCCTCCGAATGTATCGACCAACGCTCGAAAGACCTCGCGAAAGATTTAGTAACCGCGCTAATGATTTGCGGCTCGTCCTTTCTCTAAAAAAAAACGCCGATTAAGTACGTGTTGCGCACCCGATGATCTTTTTCATTCGAGAAGGAGAGTTTGCTGTAGCTAGTCCGCAAGAAAAGAAAGAAAAAAAAAAAAAAAAAAGACTAACAGGGACTCCTGTTGTTGTTCCATCAAAGCAGAGCTTACGGGATGAGCTTCGCGAAACGAGCCAAACTTTATTAATCACCCGATCCTCGAGAGCATCGCACGACCTTTCTCTCTCTACCCACGGAAGCAGCCCGAAACTACACCGCGGACCTACTTTCGCCCGGTGCGACGACGCGCATCGCAGAGAGAGAGCCAATGTACGCACACGCGCTATATAGAGCAAAATAACAATCACATGATCGGCCTTAAACAATTAATACAAAAGCAGAGCCCATGTGTTGTACACAGCCGAGGTTTTCGCGTGTGTACATATACATATATATATATATATATATAGATACGTACATGTCCGCGTGAAAGAATAAAATGAAAGAGGAGAGAAGGAGCCGCGCTCGAAAGAGAGGACTTAACTGTAAATCCAGCTGTGTGTAACTACAGGCTCTGTTGTGTTGTAGCGCAAAGGATATATATATGTATGTATGTATGTATACATCCTCCAGCAGCGCTCTCGGAGAAGGAGAGATCCGAGGGGCGAGATTAACTCGTCGCGCGGCGTTTAAAAGGCCCTTCCTCCGCCTCCACCCGATGGGCTTCTTATTTTATTGTCTACGCCACTCCAGAAGGTCATAACACGATGTACAATAACCGTTCGACCGCATATAGGTCCAGTTAGGTACTTTAATTACGGAATTGATTTCTCTACTCTCCATCTCCGTATCGCGTTAGCAGGCGGTGCTGGACTTTGGCTCTGCTCGACTATACACGCAGCAACTTCAAAGAAGGGGGAGTCCGTGGTAGCTGTACAGCTCGCCCTTTCACCCTTCAAGCTGGAAACTACCTACGCATGCACGCATCACGAGGCGGCGGGAACGCAGAGAAGGAGCACACAAGCCAGGGGGGTCGTTGGAGGAAGACAGGGGGAGGCCGAAAGGGAGAGAAGGGTGTATAAGGCACACGGCGGCAGACAGGTCGGTCGGTCGGTCGGGGTTGGTGCTGCTGCTGCTGCTTGCCGACGACGACGACGATCGATTTCCTTCGTGTGGCCTCCTCGCTAATACTTAGCTTCCTTTTTAGCAAGTGTGCCGCCGCTGCCCCACGGGTATTGCCAACAGTGTGTGTATATACACACTACATGTAGTAGCTTCGTTAGGAGGAGGATGACAAGGAGGTGGTGGTATAACCTACAAAAAAAAAAAAAAAAAAAAAAAAAAAAAAACAACAACGGAGAGAGTAGGAAGGGAAAACCCGAGCGACGTGGCTCTCTCTTTTGACGGCGAGGATGGCCTTTAATTTTGTTGATGTATACATATATATAGATGTTATTGTTGTTTCCCATGATCTGTTGAGTTTTTGTTTTCTGTAAATTTGCTCGAATTGTATGAAACACAAATATAGGAAAAGGGATTAGAAGATACAAATCATGCAGAGTTGTTTACCTTTGAACTTCACCGCGAGTTAGACGTCAATGTATATGCGCACAATTTGTGTTTTGGCGAGTCCCATGTATACGTGCACACTGCACAAAAATTTTAGACACTTTAGTACTACTTAAGCACTATAATCGTCATTGCAGCAACGAACAAGTAATACTTTTTGGGAAGAACTCGCGTTACGATCGCCCGACTAGCTACACATGTGTAACGTACAACACTTCGCACTGTCCTAAGCAGTACTGCTGCTCCTCCTCTGCGTCAACTTCACGCGCACGCCACAAAAGTACTTCACGGAGAGTAGGTATATAGTTGGATAATGATAATAATACGAAAAAAAGCGAATGAACGAACACCGTCTTGCTCTCCTTATCACTGTTACTTGCTCCGTTCGGCCGTATATATATGCACGCTGTTCGAGGTATACAGTGTACAGTATATACTTGCAGTTCCGCTGATGATGCTGGGAGAGTGGAAAATAAAAAAAAAGCGGAGAGGTACCTCGACGACGGCGACGACGTTAATGCTGCCGGGAGGAGACAGGCACTGGTGGTACTACATTCCCACGCACGAGTGCATACCAAGGACGTATACACTGCTCGCTTCTCTGATTGTTCTTCTCTTACTTCTAAATTTGGTTTATTTGTATGTTTTTTTTTTTTTTCCCCCACCAACTCTCAATTTATACTGTTTTAGAAATTGCACGCGCTGGGTAAGTATACAAGTGGTGTACGTGAATACGCCGCGGTAGCGCTACTGGCGGCGACGAGGCGCACGTATACAGGAACGCGCACACAACATGTAGGAGAGCAGAGCGTATAATATATAACAATAAGCATATAAAACAACAGGAAAGCAAAGTCAGACAGACAAACAGACAGCGACTAAACCGAGACGAGAGATCGAGCACACAGTCACGCAAGTACAGTGTACATTGTATACATATACACGTACGTGAACCCACACACACGCTTCTCTAGATTCGCGAGTACGCGCTTATACATATATAGGAATCACTGAGAGAGAGATATATATATATGTATACATTGTTATTGTGCACATGTATATCCACACTATACTCGTTCACAGATAGTATACGTCATACACATTCGTCACTCGTCACCGTTCTTTTTTTTATACTATTACACTTGGCATTCGTTTGGCTCTCTTTCTATTCTCTTCCTTCCTCTTTTCTCCTCTGTGTGGTGTGAATGTATGTATAACCCGTACACACGGCTAAAAACTCGCGGAACGGGCGGTGCAGTCGCGCCACCTCCCTGCAGCTGTCGTTCGGAGCAGCACTAGTGTCAATCGGCCGCCGTTTCGGTTTTGGAGCACTTGCACTATATGATTCTTCCTCCCCATCCCTCTCTCTCTCTCTCTCTCAATTTGATTATCTCCACCTCATGCTTCTGTCAATGAGTATATTCACTGGTAGTCTGGCACTCAATGAATAATCCATCATCATGGTATAAAGCACACCTGCGTTTAGGCGTATACAATACACGTATAACTGATAAAGTTTACAAGCACGTATATTCGCGTGCGTATATGACGGGACGAGTTGTTGACGACGCGAACGCAAGCACTGCACTGCGCGAGGTATATACTGCACGCGAGAAAGAGACACGAGAGCGCAGGCTGCAGAGCAGAAGCCATCGGAGCAGCCAAATAATCCCTCCTCCCCCTGCCCTTTTCTTCTCTCCGCGGCCGCTGATGATGCTACTGCTATGTGCATGTGTGCCGCTGCTGCCTTGGAAGAGTTGGAAGTTCTTATATATATATGATACTCTACTCCGCACGTCGGCCATTTTCCCCTCCCCCTGCCGGCCCTCCACGTCTTTTCTTTCCTATACACAGCGCAATGAGATATAGTACTTTTTGACGTATATATATACATATACCTACGACTACGAATGTTTTTCTTTCGCCAATACGTGAATTAGCACTGTCGGCACGGAAGGAAGCTGATTTTATTGGCAAACGAATTTTGCGGACACATTGCAGATGGGTGCTGACATCTACAGGGTGTAGCAGAAAGTTACTGTATTCTATTTCCCATATATAATTATATAAATTGGCTGATGCGTATAGTGCTTTAACATATTTTTGTTCTTTTAAAATGCTGGGGTTGGGGGTGGGGGCGATGAGAGCACGTGGTAGATGAGTGCAGCGTGGCTTGTGTGTATATGTATCCAATTGTGTGTGACTGTCAAAACAAAACAAAATTAAAAACACTTTCGTACGACGACACAAAGATTCCTTTATTGTAATTTGATGGTAATTTGTAAAAATAAAAAATAAAAATAACTGGAGTGATAACAGTAATTAATCAAATTATCAACGACTCAAATTATATTACAATTCATTGATTCATTCTTGTTTTGATAATCCATTCTTCTTTTCGCTAATATTAAAACGACTTGTGGATGACTGAACTGAAGATGTAATTATTCAATCACAATAAAATTCAAGTCATGGTAATCAAGACAGACAAGCTCGATCTATTTTCGATTTTTTATTATTATTATTTTTTTTTTTTTTATAGAAAATACACTGATATGTGCGCTTATTCTTTTTTCACTATACAATTCAAAGACACGCTCTCATCAATTAACCGAACGTCTGACAAGAAGATCGGTACGAAAAAGCCTTTTACTGCCAAAAGCTTTTTTTTATCTAATAATTTTTGTACTGTATTTTACATCTGAAAATTATTGTTAACACTTGTACACATTTAAATTCCTTAATTTACACGCTTCTGCTTACATTTAAAATAATAATAATAATAATAATAATCATAATAATAAACATTTATTCTACTCATTAAAGGTATACCTACTATATGTCCACACCTTTTCGAGAGCAATTCCGAACGATTGCTTTTAGGATCAAGGTTTACAGTAAATACCCAATTTTGGAAGTTTTTGTTATCAAAAAAACAAAACAATTTTACTTTCAAACTACTTTCAATATCTGAAATATTTATTTTTGATTTTTTTATCTCTTACACACACATAACTTTTCACAAGCAACTAATTAAATATAAACACGGTTTATGATACATCAATCAGTTGCTTTTGTACATTTTAAATTATCATAAGTATCCGATTCATTCAACATAAAAAATTTTATCATCAATCTCGAACCTTATCTTACAACGAAAGAATTTACACAATTTTTACAGAGATATTACAAACGGAGCAGAGGAACCGCATTAGTTTACTTGTGATAATGTAACACTAATAAAAAGAGAGAGAGAACATCACAGTACTTCTCAGCACATCCTCTTTTCTTCTGTTTTTTTCATACATGAAGTAAACACTTGAAATTTTCGTGCTCTCTTTTTAACACCATGCAGTACTCGGGCCGTTTTTTAACTCTAAAATTTGAACTTATTAAAAAAAATAAATACAGATCATTGCATGTGTGAAACAAAAAGTAAAGTAAGGATTCAAAAGTTATCAATTAATGTGCACGTAAATAATTATTTTAACCACGCAATAGTAGTATGATTTTTTTAAAACAGCAAATTATAAATTACTGTAGCTTCATTAACAAATAAGCTGTTGCAAAATGTGCACTTAGAATTTTTGATGCTAGACTTATGTCTGAGCAATTGAGAAAATGATCGTTTAATTTAGTCTCTAAATTAAATTTAGAATTGCAAAATATGCATTGGAACCGGCATTTTTTAGACCGTTTGTTACTGTTTTCAAGACCGTTCTGTTCAAACTTCAGACTACTTTCAGTGTGTTCCTCAAGGTGTAACTTTAATTTTTCATAAGAATCATACATCTCATCACAGTACTTACAAACAAAAGGAAGTTCATCAGCATGTACTTTGGAATGCTTATGTAGCTTACTTTTGTTCCCAAACGATTTTTTGCAATATGGACATTTATGAAGTTTCTTACTTCTGACAGTTTTTTTTTTTTTATTGGAACCCTTATAGCTGTTTTCTTTAATAACCATATGCTCAATTACATGGCTATCGAGACAATTTTTCGTTTCAAAAAACTGTTTACATGGTATGCATTCAAAAGTTCTTTTCAAATCGTTTGGACAATGGTGCAGATTATAGTGGGGCTTCTTAACATAATTGTGCCCACAAATATCACATTTGTAATGTACTTTGTAGTGCACATGCATGTGCCCTCTTAGGTAATCTCTATGAACAAAATCTTTATTACAAATTTTACATTTGTGAGGACGTTCGGTGGAATGTATAGCTTTGTGCCTAGAGAGATGATAAGGAATATAAAAACTCTTATCACACTGTTCACATTTATATGGACGCTCTTTAGCATGTGAAAACATGTGAGCTGTAAGTTTTTTTTTCACGGGAAAAACTTGAAAGCAAATTTCACATGCATAGTAACTTGAAAGTGGCTTTTTTTCCACATAAATGTTGTCATCAGCAGATTCAACTGAATTTGATTTATCCTTGCTAATTAGTGACTCGCCCATGATTCAATAAAATTGTAATATGAAGGGGACACTACTTTATTTTTTCATAAAAGTTTATGCTGACTGTAAAGTAGATACGATATTTTATTGGTGAACTTCTTGGTTATGAATGCATAAATATGATTTTTTATTTATCAGAATGTTTCCCATGATGTAATGTTACTTGGTTAGCGAATCCTGATTTGACACTTATTTTTTTTTCATCATCAGAAATTGCTCGCAGTTTCAGAAGTAGTATCAGTATTTATAGTTCAACAGGTGCACACCTCATAAGTTTTTTCATAGAAGTCCAGAGAATTATACCTTAGGCAACGAATGGTTAATGCGTGGAATTCTTTGCTCTCTACCTAGTAAGATAAAAAAATGAGTAACTGTATGACATAAAAATCTAAGAAGAAAATAAAAACATGCAGTTGGATTGTTCAAAAATGAATATTTCAATGATTAAAAGAGATTGAACTATTTACTTGATTTATGTTGATCAAGTGTACATGGCACAATTTTGAATTTTTCTATAACTTACAATAATTATTTAACTAATCTTGTTAAAATTTATTTAAAGGAGATAACTATATATTCTCAGATGATATTTGTTACAACTTAATTGCATTTAATTGTTATCTATGCTTACAATTGTGATGGGCTAAGGTAATGATTTAAAATTCAGTTTAAAATCAGCCAGCTCGATGAAGGTTTAACAATTAAGGATAATTTTATATACTTACTCGTCTGTTACTGATGCGAACTGCAAAAACCAAATCGGCAGTTACAATTATACTATTATGTTTAGTGTCAAAGATGCCTAACAGCCTTATATTCGTTATTCAAACATTCCATGTGCAACAATTGAGGTTACACTTGCAGGGAAAAACAACGAGCCGGTAAACGCGGGTATGTCACGTATGCGGTTGCTTATAAACTTGAACCTTTACAATTGTTGCGTTTGTCACGGTACACAGTTTTGCGCTTAGAATTATTTTTTAATAAAATTTTGTACTGTGACATAATGTATTGGACATTGTCATTGCACCTAATAATCAAAGCCGTTTACTTATTTCTGCAAGCCGTGCCGTATATATATGTATACCAGTCGTTCTGCTTTACCTACATGAGGTACGTAAATATTTTATTTACATGTCAGGACCCGCGTGATTCAAAGTTTGTTGCTTTTCGATTTCAAACGAACTCTTTTTTAAGAGTAAAAGCAATTATCATGGTACGATGGTACCCCCTTAACTAATCAGAAAGAGATAAACAATCTAAATAAATATAAACAAATAGATAAATAAATAAATTAAAAGAGTTTATAAAAGGCACAGTTGTTACGCACCAAGTTGATTCCATAATTCGGGCTCGGCACTCGGTACTTCAATACAAAGGTGATGGTATACGAGCCAAAAATATTCATACCGATTTCATCAGAAAATATTTATTTTTATGGGTCCAACTATCAATCGAATATTTTATCACGAAAATATTTATGTACATTCGGATGGAAAATTAACAACAGTAATTGATCACGTTATGTTACATGGCTTTTTAAGATTGTTTCTTATTAGACGTGGTGCTGTGAATACAATAAAAACAGAGCTATCAAAATTAGAAAGTTTTATTAAGGATTAAAAATTCTTGTGATTCTTGGAGACATTGTTTTTTTTTTTTTTTTTTTTTTTTTTTTCTCGCGTGTACGTTCATGAACCTGATCAAAACAATACTTTTAGTACAAAAAAGATTCATAAAAATCTAAATAATCAAATACTAGAAGAAAATATTTATTCAACTCTAGTTTTTGCGCAATACAATGCATCATTTACTACAAATTTAATGAATATTGATAAATAAACATACATTTATAAAACCTTGAGTGACAGTATTGATAAAATTATTCCAATTAAGGGAGCTAGTAATTTTTAGTTTACAATTTAAATATAAATATTTTTTTCATAAATTTCTTGAGTAATATTTATTTATCGAAACCTCGAGTAATACGTATAAATTACGAGTAAAACAATTCTTCGTGATAGATTACAAATACTATGTATATTGTTGTCATAATTAAAGATTAAAATTACTTAGAATGAAAATTGGACGGAAAGCATTTATGTTATTTTCAGTCTTTACTTTCTTGTCATAATGTAATCTTTCAAAGACATGAAAATTCCATCATTTACAATTAATCTAAATTTTTCGCTACATTGATGCCGTGTGTAGTATTATTTTTAAAACTTTTGTAAAATTGGCGATAAATGCTTGATTGAAATTTTATAAAACCATGCATGTAATAAAAAAATACTAAAATTGTTAAAGCTCTTCATAATAATATTATAAAAAATATTTGAGCACTCCTCTTGGAAGATTTATACCCTTTGTTAAAAGTTCAATGGGTGTTGGAAATATAGCAATAGCATATGAATTCGAATTTGTCATTTCTCTTTGGTGCCATATGTAAATAAGTATATCGTTACATTTATACATATGAGTTGTATCTTCATGAGTGTCAGATCTATGGCCACAAAAGTTCGATATTCGGAGATTGCAGTTCTTCCAGTTCTTTGTACATTGAATAGACAACGAGCCAACAATATATCTAAGAAAATTAATAAAATCGTTAGTATCTTACGGAACGTGTTTTTTTACATGATTCTTCAGATAATTGTAAAATGTATCAACTTACATTATAAAACATGTAAAGGTAGTTGCATATAACAATGAACACAACTTGCAACTGAAAACAAGTAACAATTAATTACAAAAATAGTTTAGCACAGGATATGAACACATTTAAATTTAATGATAACAAAAATTAAGTATAAAAAAATAGTGACAACGAATTTAAGTAACGTATAAAAAATTATAACTTTGAGAATCAAAAAATCGTAAATGGTAATCAACTCACATAAATGTAGTACGCCCAGAGGAGCCAAAGTCCATACAATAATTGGAAAGAGAAAATAAATGCCCAAAGACCGAGCCAAGGTAACAACCAACCGCGAACTCCTTCGTGTATGCCATAAATCATGAGTATGGCTGATACAATTAATAGTAGAAAAAACAATAATAAAATAACTCCAGCCACTTGCATTGCTGTAAAAAAAATTTACAACTCAATTAGTATTAATTTACGAAAAAAGCATAATTTTTTAAATACCAAAATAAAACATGAAAATAAAAATTATTGATTTTTATGGTTCAAGAACACCATACCATGAAAAAAAAAAAAAAAAGCGGCAATATACTTACACATTCGAACGTCGGCTTCAAATAATGGATTGTAGAGTTGCGTCGAGTCACCACCACACATTTGATAAATTATTAACGTCATCAAAACAATGCTGGCAGCCTAAAACAATAGGTAAAATCGCAAACACCCATAAAAAGGGAAAATTAAAATTAAACCGCACAATATACCGATTTTTGGAAGATAACGAAAAAATTGGCCATTTAATATGCATAATCGTGAAAGCAAAGGAAAAAAAAAAGTAAAGAATCAAACACCCACCACTGTGTACAACGCCACGGCTTTGCAGCCAGTTTTCAGATTGTTCGCCCATATAATGGGCGACCAGCAGGTCTGCAACTTCTTCATGACGTACCGATCACTGTTGTCTTCACTTTAATTGAGAAGAAAAAAAATAAATGAAAAATCGGCAAACCAAAGGGCAAAAGAAAATGAGTTTCACAAACGCCTGTCGCTGGCTCGTGTATGGGGACACTGAAGCTTGGGCGTCGTCGAGGCAACCAACACACGCTTACCGCGATCGTGCTCCGCGTAAAAAACGTGCACATGTGTGTAAAAAGGTGCCGTGCCCTTTGGAGAGCATAGACCGTCGAGTGACCGCATCGCTTACCGAGCACCATACAGATCTCCGTGATCCTCAACGATCTGCAACGGTGCAATGTAAGAGTCAAAGGACTAGTACTGCCTGGGATCGGTGCCGAGAGAGGCCGCGCTTCGAGTTCTCTATGGTTTTGCGGCTTATTTTAGCGCGCGACTACGAAATTCTGCTTTTCGATTTTACGTAGAATCAATGTTGATTTGTTCATTTTTTTTGTAAATTTCGTTTATCTTTTGTTAAAGTAGCAAATACAGGTGCTTTTTTTTTTAATTCAAAATATAAAAAAATGCATAACTTGAGCTTTAAATTAAATTCAAGTGAATATTATTGTTGTTGTTGTTGTTGTTGTTGTCCCCACAAGTGACAGCAAAGAAAAGTCTCAATAACGCTCCTCGTGGGCGAGTTGATTGAATCCAAGTAACATGGCCGGGACGATGGATCCAGCTTTGATATCCGATTTCTGTGCTGTTCTCGCCGGCAACATAAGCAGGGCGTTCGCACTTTTGCAGCTGAGAAGCTTACTGCTGATTTGATTGCCGGTGCTGTAAGCTTTCGGACAACCATCCTCGCTCTCGTCCGACCACACGAGGATCACGCGCGCGTACTCCGGTCTCGGGTCCAAAGCGTAATCGTTAACCACCTGTGGATGGTGTTCAAAACTAATCGTCTATACTATATCCTTGTATCAAGTGGGTACATTTTTTTATGAAAAGTTAAAAAAAAATTCTACCTTGGCTTTTACGACTACAGGTTTTTCATTGTTTTTTGTCAGGTGGTTCAGCAGCGGAAATACAAACAAATTGGCCGTTACTACAGCTGAAACGGGATTACCAGGTAGACACAAAAAGTACTTCTTGGTCCCGCGCCAAGTGAGGGTGGCGTAGGTCGTCGGCTTTCCAGGTTTCAAATTGACGCGTCCTATAAATTACACCATAGTATTTTCCAACAAAGACTTTTCACGTAACAATGTTCCGATCAACCATTTACCGACCAAAGTGAATTTTAGCATGGAAAACGTCCTGCAGGATCGGCTTCAGCATATCTTTGTCGCCCATCGACACGGAACCCGTTGTTATAATAACGTCGGCTCTTCCCATCGCATCGGTAATAGCATCGAGCATAGCGCCCATCCTGTAAAATCCCACAGCGTTTATCACGCTTCCTTCTTAAAAAAAAAAAAAAAGTACCCACTCATCGATCGCAATGCCCAAATCAACAGCCTCGTAGCCATTCTCTCTCAGCATCATCATCAGCGTTATTTTGTTGCTATCGTAGATGTGCCCGGGCTTGGCTGGCTCGCCCGCGTTTTGGAGCTCGTTGCCCGTCGACAGGACACCGATCCTCGGCACCCACGTCACTGATACCTTGGCCAAGCCGCAAGCCGCCAGAATTCCCGCCTCAACGGCGCCTACTTTCATACCTTCCTTGAGAACCGGGTCACCCAACTGGGTATCACTACCGATCGGTCTGACAAATAGATCGGAAAAAAAAGATGAAATTGTCAAACGATGAGCGAGTTGACAATCCCTACCGTATGTCCTGGCCTTCTTTCGGCTGAACTAGGATTTCGATCTCCAGCTCTTTTTTTCCATCGGCTCCGCGCTCTGTCAACACTGTATCCTCGACCTGGACCACAGCCGTGGCTTCTGGAATTAAAATCGTTATAATATCCAAGGAGCAAAACATGATTCACGTAGTACGATTACCATCGGGAACTGGAGCACCGGTGTTGATCCTCACGCAAGTGCCTGGTTCAATCTTCACGTTGTCCGGCTGAAGGAAAATCGAGAAACCGATCATTATAGTGTCTGTAAATATAATTAATGTCCTACCTTGTGACCGGCCTCTATGCCACCCAAGACCTTCCGCCTGCCTTTGCCGTCGCTCGCGATCACCGCGTAGCCGTCCTTTATGGAAGCCCGGAAGGGCGGTATGTGGCAGGTCGAGTAGACGGTCTCCGACAGGACTCTACCTCGGCAGGCCCAGATTTCGACCTGCACCGGGGGTAGCATCTCCGCTGAGTCCTTCAGGATCTTTTGGGCTTCCTCGATCGAGATCATAGGAAAGGGCGATTCTCGGAGCCGGCCGGCGACGTCGTCCGGGTTCCACGAGGAGGCTCCGCCACTCTTGTGCGGACACTCGTGCTTGCCTTGGACCACTTCGTGGGTAGATTTGATGCTCTTTTCATGACCGAGTATCAGGTCGACGGCGTGAGGAAGTACCTTTGCTATGGCGCAGAAGCACTCCTTTGCGGCCTTTGGCGAGCCAGGGAGGTTGACGATCAAGGTCTTGCCTCGTATGCCACAGGTCGCCCTGGATCGTTTGTAGAGAGATCAAGTGCGTGTTTTTTTTTTTTTTTTTTTTTTTTTTCAATAAAAATACTTTTACTTGACGTACATTTGTTTTTAAAAGAAAATATTATATTTGCTTAATCTTTATGCGAGTCAAGTTTCTTACATGAATAAATCAATGGCTAAATAATTGTTAGCAAAACATAAAATCGTTTTCTAAAATATTTACCTTTAGTAAATCGATATTAGTTAAAATAATTTTTATTGTAAATTGTAATTTGTGATTATTCTTATTTGTTAGAATAGTAAATCAATTGATGCTGTACCTAGATAACATTGCCATGGGTGTAATTTTTAAACTTTCAGAGATCATGGCATGAGCAATTCCAGGAACTTCTTTGTGGATGACTTTTTTTGTAGCTTCTGGAGTAACATCCCTGCAGGAAAAGCCAGTACCTCCAGTGGTTAAAATAACATTTAATTCCTCCACGTCTGCCCAATCAATTAACATCGTCTGTAATATTGTAAATAGTTGTTTTTATTTACAAAAAAACAAAAAACAATTTGCAACGATGTTTGAAAAAACTCACTTGTATGGTATCCTCATCATCGGGAACAATATCGGAGCACACTACGATACCATTAAATGCTTTTCCAATTTCTGTGTTTGCATTGGACAACAATTGTCGAAGTACAGGGCCACTTTTGTCATTTTCCTTTTTTTGAGAACAAGTGTCGCTAACTGAATCGGAAATCATACATAGAATTCTTAAACTTAACCTTTAAAACTTTGCATTATAAAAATTTGATAAAAAATATGGGAAAACGAAAGGAATATTTTTTTCCGATACCAATCAAAACATAAATTAAATTTATCGTATTGTCTTACTTGTTAAGATTCCAAAAGTAATAGCTGACATATTATAAAAGGTCAGAGAAACTACAGCAGATGTTAAGAAATCACAAAGTTACTCAAGTATACTACCTATAATGAGTCCAAATACCTGTTATCTCTCTGGCAATGAATTAGATAAAATGCAATTTATTAAATAACTGACACGTGTTTTGGTGTGGCAGTAAAAAACAAAAATGAAGGGCATAAAGGAATGGAAACAAACACTGGTACAACGTAACTGTTTATTATTCACAGAGAAATAATATTAAACAACACAAATTTTAAAAATTTTTAAAAAATGTACAATTGCATAAGGAGTCCATGTACAAATCAGCGCAACGTTCTTGTACAATGTGCACATTTCACTCAATCAATAATCAACTAATCCACTGTAAAAAAAACAACAACACAGAACCAGTTAGAATCCAATCCAATCCTCAGAAAAAAGTTATGAAGAAAACATATCACAAATTACCGATGGCCTCGAGGACTGGAGTACCTGGGCGGCGTGCGGTGCCGTCTACTGTTACTATGATGCCTAACCCCTCGATGGTCCTTGTCGTCCCTTCCTCGACTACTGCGGTGATAATCGCGACCGCGATCACGGTCATAACTATTGCGTTCCTTGCTCCTGCGTCTGCTACTGCGTACTGGTGGAAGTGGAGGAGGAGGAGGAGGAGCAGGAGGCCGAGCCGAGTTACGTTCGTTGGGACTTGGCGAGCGCGATGGCGTTGAACGCGAGTCCGAGCTGTGACCACCTTCATATCTGTGACGGCGTTCTCTTTGCCTGAAAATTAGTTTTTTCTAGATTAGTAAATATTTGATGAGTTTCAGATAATTGATTTATTTATTACATGCATGTTACTTACTTTCTGCGAAGTTTCAGGGACATTTCCCTAATCTCATCCTCTCTATCCTGCCTTTGTTGTTCAAGTTTTTCAATTCGAGCTTGTTCAGCTTTTTTATCTGCTTTGTCTGAAAAGAAATTATGAACAAAATTATTTTAGCACATCAACATATGTTAAAATAGAGGAAAAGTGACTTACATTGTCTGTTCAGCAAAGCCTGCATTTTCTTTTTAAGCCGCTCCTGCGGAGTGATTTTCGAAGACTGAAAAATAGAATTCTTACAGACGAGTTCAAAGTATATAGATCTAACTGATACATCTTTTGACAATTGATTGTATGTTTATAAAAATTATAAATTAAAAAATCATTTTACACGTATGCGCACAAATAAAAGGTGCATTGAAAAAACCATTTAGAGATAGATAGATACAGAGAGAAAGCGATATTTGACTGTCTAAAATTAAAACTTTGGAGCTACAGAAATTTAATCAAAGGTTTTACGAGTGATTTCAAAGTTGCACTCGTGAAGTATGCACATGCTACTTGTATGTAAAAATACAAAATTCATTTTTTTTGGATTTTTTAAGATGAGGAAAAGTACATGGTTTGTTTGTTTGCATTGTGCATTAAGTGACTAATAAAGCGTTAAGGTTCTTACTGACTTTGTGTCCGCCACCAGAATTTGTACTTAGCCCTGCTTTTGGCTTGTTCCTGTGATAACCATAAAATTTTAATAACTTCTCGACAATCTTAATTTTTACAAAAATGATCAAGAGTGGCTTACATGTTAATATTAGACGAAGATTTTTGTACTATTTGCGAATTTTTATCTTCATCAGACAATTCTAGTTCCAAACTTGAAGACTTTCCCCGTCGACCGTAATATCTAGATGGATTTTACTACCATTATTCATACAATCCACACAATAAAATAGACTTAAATATGATACCAAGTTCATTGACAATAGTATCTATACCTTGGCACAGCAGCAGGTTTGTTTGATAACACAGGCTGAGCTCCCGCGGGTTGTGAACGAGCTCCTGGTGACGCAGCGCTTCTGGACTTGGAATTAGATACACTTCTGGATGACCTCGACCTCGATCTACTTCGGCTCTTACTCCTGGATCGCGTCCTGGACCTGGATTTGGTTTTCGATCTTGTCTTCGATCGCGACCTCGTCTTCGATCTTGTCTTGGACCTCGAACATCGTCGTTTTGACCTTGAACGAGATCTCGAGCTGCTGCTACTGCTACTGCTGCTGCGTTTCTTGCTGTTACTTCTTCTTCGGCCTTTTCTCGAAGATGATCGCGACCAACTGCGGCTAGAGGTTGACGACCTTTTCGAGCGAGACTGGGAGGACCTCCCGCGTTTAGAACGTGAGCGCGACGTCGATCGTGACCGTGAATGTGAACGACTGTAGGACCGTGATGTTTTGCTGCGCCGACTGCGAGACCTTGATCTTGAGTACGACGACCTCGAGCGAGACCAGCTTGAACAGCTACGCGACCTTGACGTTCCATACCTTTTCGTCCTTGAGCTATCTTGTCTCGATCTGAAATGAAGATTGTTTTCAAAATTTTTGTAGTAGCAAATTATGGGTGGGTAAATACTGCAATTTACCTGGAATATGGAGGACTCGACCTTTTGGAATCACGCCTTCGGTAAGATTTACTTCTTGAGCGTGAATTACTTCTAGACCTAGACTTAATAGCTTTTCTCGATGATCTATCATTTTCGACCGGACTCATCGACTTTCTTTTTCGTTGATTTGTGGAATTGACTTTCCTTGACGCGGGCTGAGAAGAATTTGCATTGATCGCTTCTTCCTCACCGCCGAAACTCGTTATGTACGTTATTTGTCCTGCATTTGCAGGCGATGGTGAACGCGAACGAGATTTGGAAGACGACTTTCTATATGGATTATATTCCGGGCTTTCTCTAGCAGCATAACTGCAATTAAATTAATATTTGTTGTACAGGGAATTTATTACCCATCTTAATCAAAAGTTTAAGCATTAATTACCTCGGAGGACTCATAACACGTCCGATCATTTTCTTTTCTCTAAATGCTCGTCTTTCTCGCCTGGATCGACGTCCCTGCATTGTAATACAAATGTAAATACTTTTCGATAGTTACTATTCTCGATCCAATTTTTTTTTAATACTCACAGAAAACATGGCTTTTTCTTCTTCTTGCTTTCTAGCTTGTCGCAATGTTTCAGCTTCTTCAAAATCTTGAGTCAAAAAACTAAAGTAATCAGCGCCTAAAAGTCCATACTTTTGGCCTACTAAGTTCATTTCATGTGCCTGGGAAGGCTCGATTTGCGATACATCCACACAAATGTCTAAATCGATGTCACTGTCATCGTCTTCTTTTTCTTCTAATGGGGCTGGTTCCGAAGCCTTGGGCGGTTCTGTTATTGGTTCATCAGTTTCGTAATTATAACCTATAGCAGCAGTGTTACTCGACTTTTTCTTGTCTTTTCCAAGATCTAATTTTGATGAACCAAACTGTTCTTCAACATGAATTTGATGAAGAAATTTTTCCTCAGTTACTATAAAAAAAAGGTGTTTCTTTTCATTAGATGGCAAGATGCATAAATAATTTTCAATCTTGTTTTTACCTACCACCAATAAATTCATTTTGAACTATTATTCGATACCTCTCATAGTTTATATGCCTATCTTCACTGGTTAAAGAAATATCAATGTCGTTTGCGTTATTAGCTTCAGGAATCCAGTCCAAATGAGCTCTCACATCGAACCTATCTATTAAATTTTCTTTGTTACCTTGCCAAGGCATCCTAAAAAGCAGTACGTTGATACAGTACCATAAAACTGTACGGGAATAAGTAAAATTCTTTGTGTAAGCTTACATATTAGCGGGACTATCGCCTGCTGCAGCAATGACAGGATCCAAGTGGATTTTACATGGTCTTCCATGAACTTGAAGAAACTGTGTTGGATCTGATTTCTGTGAACAAAAATAATTAAAATTAAAATTTTAAAAAACATACTTTTCAACTATTTCTGTAAAACTTAGGGTCACTTTGGTCTCATTGAAGCTGATGGTCTCGTTCAAATAATTAAAGGACTCTAAATCAACCTCAAATTTAACAATGAATATTTTTATCAAACATAAGCTAATATTTCTCAAGATGTTTAAGGGGATTCTGTATATCAACCAGAGTGGTAATAAATTATCATGATTAAAACAAACTGATAAAACGTTTTGTACTTCTACAATGTTAGATTAGAAAATATTGCCACCAAATAGCTATACTGTTGACTATAAATCAATGTCATCAATGTCTGTTTCGAGAATTATGTACTGCACTCAATCTGCCACGAAAATGCTCCACTTTTAAACTCAATTCATACAAGCAAAATCGTACAATTATTTCTACGACTTTTAATTTGATCCATCTAATTCCAATGCACGTGAACACTTGAAATGTTTTTTGAGCTGAAATAATCGAGTTACAAAACTAGAGCTTCATAATGATCATGTAAGCAAACAACAATTCAACGTTGAAAATTACCAAATTATCCTCTTGAATGAAAAAAAAAAAAAAACCTTCCAGGACTCCTTCCAAACCTTAATCCCTTAAAAAAGATACACTTAACTAACGACACTTATATACTCACAATTTTCTCGTAGTAATCCCGTCTGCGTTCAGCACGACGCCGATAATCGACGAGCATGCCCCGGATCTTTTTCTCCTGCTTTCGGGCCTCGTGCCACATTCTACCACCGGTTTTCTTCGCCGAGAAACTCATCTCACCAGCTGCTGTTGCGGTTAAGCGGTATTCACAAAAATAACGTACTACTTTACTTCTTTCCTCGATGACGATGACTTTGATGAACTCCGTACTTCGATGACGTCCATTTTTTAAGTACACTGTTGGATTAGTTGGGGTGCCTGTATCCTGCAGTCCTGTACCGCTCCCCGCGCTGTTCTCGTGCTTTTTTTTCATATATATACTAATCTTTTCTGTACCTATACTTGTAAGCTGTAAGCTCAATTCTCAAGCAGTTAAGTTACGTATAAGTCGTGGTAACGCTGCATAGTCGGGCGGCGCTAGCGTCAACCATAGATAAAGAATAGACTGCTTATTAGCAGCCGGGGCAGTGAACAGGGCTCTCGAAAGTGGCAGATGATCTGGCGCAAAATTTTAAAAATATTAAAATTGAGTCTCAATCAATGACAAATAATCAACTGTAGCTTATTAAAATTCGTAATTAACTTAAATGAACATTTTAATCATAATATAATAATCTGAAAGTAACAATTTAAGTAATTGTTATTAAGGTGAATGTTGATCAGTATAACAGAGATTTTCCAGTATTCCAATTAATTTCGTAGTTTTTAATTGTAATATGATAATAAGAAACTGTTATAGATAATTTAAATTATCATTAAAATACTTTTTATTCGATAGTTATGATGATACGGTACTTATTTTATGATGTTAGCAGCGAGGTGTTTGGCAGTATATCTATATGTCAAAGCCCATTGATTTCTGACTCGAAAGTTGGTAGCATTTCTCGTGGTCAAGCATACCGTGATTAATGTATGGTAGTACTAAGTGGAATTCAACCTTTAATGTGTTTACATCGTCGAATTCGTCGGCAACTTGTCATTAAAACAGAATGTTTTAATTTTTTGTTTTTATTAAAACAAGGGTTGAGTTGACGAAAACAACAGCATCGACAAGTACGGGTGCAACGTTAATGATGTCTCGTTCAGTTAGCTGTAAATTAACCTATAAATCAGATAAGTATAGAAAGTATTTTAATAACAAAACTCTGTCGTGAATTGAATAAACAGTCTAGTACTGTCTATTAGTATAAGTATCTAAACCTCTTCAAGTACCTAATCAAAAAACTGATGGAATTTATACACGTTGCTGTTGAATCATTTCATTAAATTTATGAATGCTCAGTTTTTCCCTTAAAGCGTTTATTTATAAGTATGTTTACTTTGTGCTAAATAATAATTTCAGAAGGATTAGATGTCTAGTGGATCAAGGCTTGATGACATTTCCTCATTACATCAATAACAACTGAAAGGGGAACTTGTAGTACAGTGAATTTTGTTTAAGTATAACTCATTTTTCATTTTCAGTTTTTTATAATTTATTAGTATAGAAGCTTCCATAACGTATATTTTCCTTTTTGCATAAATTGCCAACTCATGCAAGGGATTTTTATTTCTAGTTGGCGTACACTTAGTTAGTAGCTATGATTCCATTATAAATGACTGTCACACAATCTTTTTTTTTCTTAACAGTTGTAGATCTTACTTTGCAACCCTTTTCATCATGCATCTTCGTTGAAAGCCCATTGAGTGTGCCATACCAAAACAGTGACCAAAAAAATTTAAGGACCTACTCAATAACATTACATGAACAGATTTTAACACCATGATGACAACAATGGTATTTTCATATAATAATAAACGTGGTATTAGTATATAATAACATAAACTATGTATGACTGTATAGGTAAGCAAGACAATGAACTCCCATTTGACTATCCTCACACTCATGTCAACTTTTCAGGACACATCAACTTTGGCACAACTGAAAGGTATGGCTGAGTGCAGTGATGACAACTATGGTATTTATATTTTACAATAAATAAGGTTTGAGTATACAGCATTATTCATGTACGACTCTAGGTAAACAGTACACTATGTCCTTTGGTTCCACTATCCGTACACTCATAACAACTTTTTTAGGACTTATATCAACTGCAGCACAACTTGCGGGTCATGTTAGCCCAGTGGTAGGATAAAGACAGGATCCAAACCAAGAAAAGGTATGGCTGGTGATGGACAACGCCCTCGACGGTTTTTCCAGTGAGATGTTTGAGAAAAAATACGACAAACTGGCACTGTTCCTAAAACCCATGTATTGTCAGTGTCCAATGCAAACTCACTCCTGGTATAACATTGAAGCCTATCCTTACCCATTTAACAAAAGGAATCTAAAAAGTTTGAAGAACTTGCTTCGAAGGATTCACATGGGAGTAACAGGGGGACAGCGAGCCAACACAAATTCACCTTCTTAAGGACGACTCAGTTAAAATATACAGTAAGAACTAAGAAGATACACGAGCAAGTATCCTGTCATCATCAAGCTAATACCAAACACACAAAGTGATGAAATAGGAACTGTAATCTTAACTGCACATCTATTGCTTAGGACAAAGAGAAGAAACAAATCCTTCCATTCCAAGTGCTGAGAACACCTTTAAATAAGTCGATGGTGTGAAGATTTAATGATCATGACTCTAGAAAAGGAGGCTGCACATGAGATAGTCAACCGCTCGCGTGGCTAAAAATAAAAAAAAGAGTACCTCGAAGGTGTTGGAGATATCTTAAATCTCGTGGTAGTAGGTGGTTACATAGGCAAAAGGAATCGTACCTGTACCCACAGCGACTTTCTACTGGCTTCGTACTAGGAGAACGAAGAGTACCAGAGCATATGCAAGATCGGTACTGGCTTCAGCGAAGAAGACTTGGCTAAGCATACAGAGGCTTTCAAAGAGTGTGTCATCGAGCAGGCAAAATCTTATTACCACTCTGACTAGTTTCAAACCTGATCATTAGTTTGAAGCAAAGCTCATCGAGGAGGTCTAATGCATTGATCCATCGCTCTCACCTATTCATGGAGCGGCGAGAAGCATAGTTGATCCCGAAAAAGGCATATCGCTGCGTTTCCCGAGATTAATTTATTCGTGTTAGATACGATAATAATTGTGACAATGCTACCAACGCTCAACAGATTTCTGATATGTACTTGAACCATGATCAGATCAAGAGTTAAACATCGTCATCAACAGCTGCAACAGCCGAAATAACGATGTTACCAGAACATTCTTTTTAATTTAATTTTCTTACACTTACATAAATGAATTGATATTATAAATTTATTGTAATTATAAAATTATAAAATATTGGTCCTTATACTTAAATATTGTATGATACCTACAAATTGTAAAGTCATAAAAATGAAAAGACTTTCTATTTACAGTATTTTTGTAGTCGTTAAAAAAGTATATGTATTAGGGTTACAAAACATACAATAATTTTACAGTATTCACATCTAGTAATCAGTAAAAAAAATTTCTGATCTATAACTTACAAAATACTGTTATATGTAATTACTACTGCAATTAATAACTTGATTTATATAACACTTACACTCTATAGTGTTACAATTTATTAAGTTACAGAAATATTTTTCTTCATTTGATGAATGTCTACAAACTTGCTGAAAGGTTCAAAAATTTTGAAGCCTTTTCGAGTATAAGGCTCTCAATGGTACGTCTTTTTCTCATAATAGTTCTATCATCGAACCAATCGTGTAAGTAAGGAATCGCGTCTAAAGTCGTTTTTGTATCCTGTAAATAAATTTTTACTGTAAATGAAGATATTATCCGTTATATTTTCATACTTCAATATCAATGAAAGAAGATTACTTTAAAGAAATTCTCTACGTATTGTAGCATGTACAAGCCGCAGTCACTGCTGTTCTTCTGTTGTGGCACGTCCACATAGATCACTTGTAATGCATTTTGGTTAAATGTGTCAGTTCTGCATTGTTTTTTGAACTCCGATTTTATAAAATTGATAATTGTTTCTTCAACGTATCCCGTTCCTAATTTTGAAATTGAGTTGAAGATGAGTAAGCTGGGGCTGAAAGATCAACAATAAAACATTGTTTTTTGATACATAAATTTGATCTAGATGTATTATCTGTCTATGTTATCCTCCCCTCTTTAAGATAAATTACTTAAGAATAACAAGTTAAAATATACTTAGAATATATCATTGAGGTGATGATTTACTAGCTTTTTTCTGAAAGATCAAAATTAAAATAATAAATAATATCCGTAGTAGCACAACGTAAGTTAGGAGAAGCAGACGTGCATGGATCTGCTTCTCAAAGCTTACGATGTGCTACTAGGTATATGATTTACATATTTAGTAGTTTGAAAAAATATGTAATACGATAAGAAATATTTGCATGAGATATTTAAATATAATCATTGCGAAAAATTTGTTTGACCTACAACTTACTAAATTACTCATTTAAATTTATTTTTCTCCTCACATGTATTATGAATTTTTTTTACTGTCATTAATAAACTAACGGTTACTTATGAAACAGTTCCGTGTATCACAAAGATATGAAGAAAAATGCGGTTCGGATATTTTAGGTTTTATATTAAAATCATGAGCGGCATACTTAATTAATTTGTTCGTCTTCTCTAATTTTCGACGCTTTGGTTCTTCACAATTTTTTATATCTGCCGATTTACATTCGAGTAAATTTAAAAAACAAATGATGACCACAAACCAATGCGAGCTAAAATATAAATAAACTTTTTTTAAGTGTCTTTTCTGAAGTACATATATTTTCTGTAATGTACATCTCCTTACCTCTCGTTAATGGGGAAAATTATGAATTCTTTTTTAAATATGTTTAAATTAAATTTTTTTCCCAGACTATACTTTCCCTCGTTTTTTCTTAAATCATTATAAAAAAAAGAATCAAAGATAGACGTATTTACTCTATCCTTCTTTTTCATAACTTCATGACTTATATATTTTAAATAAAAGTTAATGATAACGTCATTTAAATAACAGCTTTCTCGCAGGCAATCAATATTTGCACCGTATACAGATAATCCTCCTTTGCCAGATGGATATATCAATATTCTGAGTTAAATAACTAACGTGAACCATTTTAAAACATTCGTGTGATAATTTTTATTTTTTTCGTAGTAATTACTATCGAAATTACTAACCCAAACAATTAATTATTCAGATCATTTATCCAATCAGAGTGATTTGAAGTTACTTTTTTTCGTTAGGACCTTTTTTCATGAAATGTACAAAAAGAATA